TTTTTTTTAAATTTCAGAGATTGTGTCCATTTATACGTCTACGGGTACTGTATAAATGTGTGTACCTCCACATCTTCGCAAACACTGTCACATCCTTTTTTTGTTGTTGTTCTCGAATTTGAGTGTTATTGTTTCTCATTGTGACTTTATTTTTCATTTTTTCTGATTATGAACGAGGTTGACACCTTTCATACATTTGTTGGTCATCTGGATTTCCGTTTTGGTGACGTGCCTGTTTTAAGTATCTCTTCTATAATTTATTTTAAAGTGTCCTTTCAGACAGCCTCAATGACTTTCATCAACTCCTTGCAGGGCAGTCAGCCGGGAGATAGAGTAATCAAGGTAGGTTGAACTCAACCTCAAAACATTCGCCGCCTCAGCTGTAGCAGAGAACCATTGGGTTTCCCCAGGTGACAAGTACTTCTACCTTAGCCGCATGAGAGAGAAAGAAGACCAGGCTGAGTAGCCTGGCTGCCTACCTCCTCGCAGGTGGCCGAGAGCAGGGGACAGCGCCCAGGCGACTTCCTCAGGGATCCTAGATAAACAGTCGCGTCCCCAAACGCAGCATCCTGCTTAACCGCCAATTTCAAACTTCCAAGACTTGCCCAGCCGACTTTGCCCTTCCCTTTATCCCATTGGTCGCGAGTCAAAGGAAGATGCAATTTGATTGGCTCTCCTTTTCACTTTCTCCATCACTTTAAAGACGTGGGCGGGGCCTGGCTGAGAAGCCCATGTCTATCATAGGAACGGGCACGCTGATTGGTCCAGACACGGTTGAGACCCGCCCGCGCCGTTCCTCTGGTTCAAACGCCGCGGCGGGAGGCGCGGGGCGGAGCAGATCGCAGACCAGCCGGGTCCGCAGAGCGTGAGTCTGAGCCCCTAGACCCAATTCTACCGCACCCTGCTCCGCAAGGCCAGGGGAAGGCCGCCTCCACCCACACCAGTCCCGGCTTTCCCTCCCGCCGCGGGGAGGGCGGTGCTTCCACCCCTAGGGCTGCGGGAGGCCTGGAGGGTCTTCCCAGGCTGGCTGTGCGCGCGCCCACCCTCCTCAGGAGCCGAGGGGTCTGTCGGGTGGTGCGGGGGCGGGAGGCTTGCTCCTCCCCTAAACCAGGAGGAGCCCTGTGTCTCTTCAGCTCTGCCTCCTGTCAGCACTAACTGCTTTATTCTGCCCAGTGTAGTCAGCCAGTTCCTTATTATCTGCGTGATAGCAATTTTCTTAACCTGTCTGTTTCAGTGTCTTCATACCTCGTGCCCATCCCACCACCTCCTGATGCCCCCGCCTCTTTCGCTCTGCTCCAGTCCCTCTGGCCTCCCTGTTATTGTTGGAGAGGCCAGGTCCTGCCTCAGTGCTTTTGGCTTGACTGTTTCCTTTGCCACAGATATCTTTCTTTCCCCAGATATCAACATGGCTTGCTGGTCACCCGCTTCAGGTCTTCAAGTCTTGGGTCAAATGGTGTCTTCTCTGTGAAGTCTGACTTGACCACACTAAAGATTGCACCGTCTCACCCCCATTGCCCTTATCTTACTTGGTTTTGTTTTTACCTCATAGCACTTAACACCTTCCAACAAACTATATATAGTTTGCTTATTTCAGTCATTCATTTAATAACTATTTATTCACACCTATTTATGTGCCAGGCTATGTGTGCCCCCACTGCGTGGGGGCAAAAATCTCTGCCCTTGTGGAGCTTCCATTCTAAGGGGGGAGATAATAGACACATTGATAAGTAAGAGAGTATGTCAGATAAGTGTATCACCTCCTGTTACGGTGAGTTAAAATCTGGTGTTTAATCTCCATGATTAGACTGAGCTTCCTAAAACTGGAGTGGTAACTAATTTTCATCTCCTTGTCCCTGATACCTTGAGGGAGATCAGGATCTCTCAAGCCCTTCCTGCTCAAAACATAGGACATACTTGACTTTTCTGATATCCTTTCAGCACCAGTGGGGAGATGTTGAAGTTCAAATATGGAGCGCGGAATCCTTTGGATGCTGGTGCTGCTGAACCCATTGCCAGCCGGGCCTCCAGGCTGAATCTGTTCTTCCAGGTAACAGGCTACCCTGCCAACTTTGCTCACCTGTGTGTTTCCTTGGAATCTCCTTGTCACTCACCTTTGCTTTTATTTTTTTTTATTTATTTAGAATCTCACACTGTCGCTCAGTACAGTGGTGCAATCTCAGCTCACTGCAACCTCTGCCTCCTGGGTTCAAGCGATTCTCCTGCCTCCGCCTCCAGAGTAGCTGGGACTATAGGCGCCTGCCACCACACCCGACTAAGTTTTGTATTTTTTTTTTTTTTAGTAGAGACGGGTTTCACCATGTTGGCCAGGCTGGAGTCAAACTCCTGACCTCAAGTGATCCTCCTGCCTTGGCCTCCCAAAGTGCTGGGATTACAGGCATGAAATGCGCCAGGCTTGCTTTCATTATAGGACCAAGGATAATATTTTAGGAGAAATTCTGTTTTGTTTTGCTTGAAACAAGGTCTTCTGTCGACTCTAGGCCTGTGCCACCATGCCCAGCTAATTTTTAAATTTTTTGTAGAGATGGGGTCTCACTATGTTGTCCAGGCTGATATTGAACACCTGACTTCAAGTGAGCCTTCTGCCTTGGCCTCCCAAAGCACTGGGGTTATAGGTGTGAGCCACTGCACTGGCCTTCTATTTGGAGTTTTATATGCACTGATTATTTTGGAAAAAGGACACTGTGCAGAAGTAGATAGCTGAACTTGCCTTAGGAGGGAGATCTTTTCATATTTCTCACACTTTACACTAAAGTTCATTAATTGATTGATTGACAGGGTCTTGCTCTGTGGCTCAGGCTGGAGTGCATTGGCACAATCACGGCTCACTGTAGCCTTGACCTCCCGGGCTCAAGCGATCCTCCCACTTCAGCTTTCCAAGTAGCTGGGACCACAGGTGTGTGCCACCACACCTGGCTCATTTTTGTATTTTTTGTAGAGATGAGGTTTCACCATGTTGCCCAGGCAGGTCTCGAATTCCTGGGCTCAAGTGATCCACCTGTCGCAGCCTCTGAAAGTGTTGGGCTTACAGGCGTAAGTCACTGCACCAGGGTAAGTTTGCCCTTTTATTGGAGAAAGAAAAATAAATGAACAAAGATGCTTTTTAAAACTACAATTTCTGTGGGTATCATCCTATTTATTTTCATTGCAGGGATGTTTATTTTTTAAGATTTAAAAAAAAGTTTTGATGAATATCACACCTGTTTAACCCTCATTCCTCTCAAGATAACACATTTCCATCACCCCAGATGTGTTAAAACTTAATGTCATAAGATTACTTCCAAATAGATTTTTAATTCTTTTGTTTCTGATGTATATGGAACACTGGTGAAGTAGAAATCCTTGTTTGATTTATGTATTCATAAGTCAGGGGGACAGTAGAGACTGTGAAGATTTAGAATTGAATCCTAGTCCCAGCACTAGTTAGCTGTGTTACTCTGGGTGAGTCAGTTACCTTTTCTGAGTCCATTTGCTGTTCTTTAAAATAGGTTGTAGCCTGTAATCCCAGTATTTTGAGAGGCTGAGGTGGGCGGATTACTTGAGGTCACGAGTTCGAGACCAGCCTGGCCAACATAGTGAAACCCCATCTCTACTAAAAATATAGAAAATTAGCTGGGCGTGGTGGTGGCATGCACCTGTAATCCCAGCTACTTGAAAGGCTGAAGCAGGAGAATCGTTTGGACCCGGGAGGCGGAGGTTGCAGTGAGCTGAGATCGTGCCACTGCACTCCAGCCTGGGCAGCAGAGTGGGTGAGACTCCATCTCAAAACAAAACAAAAGAAAACAAAAAAATAACGTAGAGGTTGTAGTACCTAATCCACAGGGTTGTTGTGAGGATTAAATGAGATATTACATATAAAGCATTTAGCACCTTGCCTGGCTGTTAGTAAACCCCTTATAAAAAATGGTAAGTATTGTTAATACTCAGCATAGAATAGTATTAGTTATAATATTAATACTAAATTTCTGTGTCCTTAATAGGAATTATGTTTAGGAAGGTAGTTATGTAGGATACCTGTAAGATGATGAACAATGAAGTATTCTTGATAACTTTTTGTTTTTTCCAAAATATTAGTATTGGGTGTTTAAACAGATCAGAGTGGAAACAAATTGAAAGCTTAGGTTGTTCTGTGGGACCATCGCCATCAGCATTTTAAGTCTTGACATATTTTTTACAAATGAATAGTCTGTCTTTAGCCTTAGATGGCTGGAGTGCTGCTACTTTTCAGCGCCTTTATCATGCTACTTCAAAATATCTCTAACTTGCTGGGCATAGTGGCTCACGCCTGTAATCCTTGCACTTTGGGAGGCTGAGGCGGGCGGATTGCTTGAGGTCAGGAGTTTGAGACCAGCCTGGGCAACATGGTGAGACCCCTTCTTTACTAAAAACACATAAAATAGCTGACTGTGATGGCAGGTGCCTGTAGTCCCAGCTACTTGGGAGGCTGAGGTGGGAGGATCGCTTGAGCCCTGGAAGCAGAGGTTGCAGTGAGTTAAGATCGTGCCATTGTACTTCAGCTTGGGCGACAGAGCAAGACCTTGTATCTTAAAAAAAAAAAAAGAGAAAAACATTTCCACCTTACTTATTAAGGGCTTATAATGTGCTGAGTATGTAATAGTTATGGCTTCCAATGTGTCTGGTATAGAACTGGCATGTTTCTGAGTATCCCACTTCAGCCTCGTAACAGAGGTAAGGACTATTTTTATTTAAACTTTAAATAAAAAGTTTTTATTTAGGAGACAACAGGCCAGGTGTGGTGGCTCACACCTGTAATCCTAGTACTTCAGGAGGCTGAGGCAGGTGGATTGCTTGAATCCAAGAGTTCAAGACTAGCCTGGGCAAAATAGTGAAACCCCATCTCTACAAAAAATATAAATAATTAGCCAGGCATGGTGGTGTGTGCCTGTAGTCCCAGCTACTCAGGAGGCTGAGGTGGGGGCATAGCTGGGGCCCCGGAGGCAGAGGTTGCAGTGAGCTGAGATTGTGACACTGCACTCCAGCCTGGGTGACAGAACGAGGCCCTGTTTCTAAATAAATACATAAATAGGAAGCAACAGATACAGACATATATGGAGGTAGACAAGGCCTTGCCCAAGATCATACACGTTGAGCTTTGCAGATGGAGCCAAGATCAGACTCCATCTTTGGTTGGTCCGACTCCAAAGGCTGACCACATAGCCATTGGGCCATACCGTCTGTGCACGTCAGAGTTTATTAAGTATGTCTTGTATTTTGTCATTATAACAGGAAGAATTATAGGTAAACCCTCAGTTCATCTCTTTTTAATGCTGAGTTCCCCCCACCCAGTAAAGCTATTATTGCAAGTGTGTTATATACCTGTCATTTGCCTTGAGTGATCAGGTAAGGATGCTGTTTGTTCTTTTCCCATATAGTGCGGTATGAATGAGATTGAGATACAGTAGCAATTTTGTTTCCCATTCAGGTGAGTACTTTACACTGAGTGTCAATTTGTCTTTTTTACTTCTACTCAACAGGATTTCCTAACATGTTCGAGGTCAGTGATTGTCAGACTTTCAGAGCCAGCAAAATTTCCCAAATTGCTGGGTAGACACAGGTTTTCTTATTTTGCCAAGTAAGGATATTTAAAAAAAAAAATAATAAAAACAAAAACCTATTATTTTCTTGCCCTTTTATTTCATAAAGGGCATTTTAAGAAACAACAAGACAGGAAGAACATCATCTCAGAATAAAGGACCATTTTTAAATTTGAATACATTTAGTTTTATGAAAAAAGATATCATATGGCATTCATTTTTTCTCATTTCACTGCAGGCTGTTGAAAACTTTAAGACCCAGTACTGCATTTGGGAACCCCTGCTTTAGTTGGTCTAAACTCTTGAAGAATACAAGAAACAAAGCGTTTTATTTTCCTGAGTTAGTGGCAACTATTACTAAAGTGACAGATATGGTGGCCTTGAATGCAGTGCTTCCCAAACCTGACTGAAGTCTGACTCTCTTGGGGACCAGGGTCTCATTCCGTTGCCCAGGCTGGAGTGTGGCAGCACAATCTTGGCTCACTACAGCCTTGACTTCTTGGGCTCCAGTGATCCTCCTACCTCAGTCTCACGAGTGGCTAGGACTACAGGATCATGCCACTACACCTGGCTAATTTTTTTTGTTTGTTTGCAGAGGTGGGGTCTCGCTGTATTGCCCTGGCTGGTCTTGAACTCCTGGGCTCAAGTGATCCTCCCACCTTGGCCTCCCAAAGTGCTAGGATTCCAGGTGGGAGCCACCTCGTCCTGCTGGGGAACTTGTTAATAAAACAGATCCCAGGCTACAGTCTGGAAAATTCTAATTCAATAGGTTGTAGGGGAGGGGAGGCATAGGACCAGATAATGTGTGTGTTTGTTTTTTTCCCTTAAATTCTTCAGTGCTCTTGTGATTCAAATGCAGCAGTCCGTTTCTGTTATCAAGTGCTGTGTAACAAAGCACTCAGGACGTTTAAAGCAACAATGATTTATTTTTCTTAGGATTCTGTGGATTGGCTGGACTCAGCTAGGTGGTTCTTCTGCTTCATCCTGTGATGTCAGCTGGGGTTACTTGTGGGGCTACATTCAGCTGGGATTATGTCTGGGACTGGAACATGTGGGTGCTGACTGCTGGCTGGGGCACCTTAGTGTTTCTTACGTGGCCTCTCTTCTCCATGAGGTCTTTCAGTAGTGTAACCCAGGACTCGTAACTTTTTTTTTTTTTTTAAGACAGAGTCTCGACCCATTGCCCAGGCTGGAGTGCAGTGGCATGATCTCTGCTCACTGCAACCTCTGCCTCTTGGGTTCAAGCGATTCTCCTGCCCCAGCCTCCTGAGTAGCTGGGATTACAGGCGCTCACCTCCACGCCCGGCCAATTTTTGCATTTTTAGTAGAGACGGGGTTTCACCACGTTGGTTATGTGGGTCTCCAACTTCTGACCTCGTGAGCCGCCTGCCTTGGCCTCCCAAAATGTTGGGATTACAGGCGTGAGCCACCGCTCCTGGCTGACTTGTAACTTTTTTTTTAAGTAATAAATATTTTAGGCTTTGTGGGTCCTGTAGTCTCTGTTGCAATCACTCAACTTGGCCATGGTAGCACAAAAGCAGTTAAAAACAATATGTAAATGATGGATGTGGCTGTGTTCCAGTAAAACTTATAAAAAGTCCGTGGGCTGGATTTGGTCCAAGGGCTATAGATTGTACACCCCTGGTCTAGCCCAAGCATCTTTGCATGGTGGCTGGCTTCCCAAAAGTGGAAACTGGTAAGCTGCTTTTTTTTTGAGAGGGAGTCTTTCTTTGTTGCCCAGGCTGGAGTGCAGTGGTGTGATCTCGGCTCACTGCAACCTCCGACTCCCGGGTTCAAGCAATTCTCATGCCTCAGCCTCCCAAGTGGTTGGGATTACAGGCGCCCACCACCATGACCGGCTAATTTTTGTATTTTAGTAGAGACAGGGTTTCACCATGTTAGCCAGGGTAGTCTCAAACTCCTGACCTCAAGTGATCCACCTGCCTTGGCCTCCCAAAGTGCTGGGATGACAGACATGAGCCACCATGCCTGGCCGCTTGACAAGCTTCTTAAAGGCACTGCCCTGAACTGGCACAGTATCTCTTGTGTCACATTCTTTTGGTTGAAGAGAGTCTCAGAGATGGCACAGATTCAAAGATAGGAGAAATAGACTCCAGCGCTTAAAGGAAGGAATAGCATGTGCCTACCGAATTGGAGGAACTGTTGGAGGCCATCTTTGCAGCGAGACCACACTATTCATGGCTTGGCACGTGGGACTCACTGCTCTACACCAGGGTCGCAGACTCATGTCTTTGGGGGCCAGGCAGTGAGTATAAGTGAGTTAGGTGGGCCAGTTGGAAGATGGAGTCAGACCTGCAGTAAACTCCGGAACACATCTGCTACCGGGAGGGGCAGCATTACTCAGCTCCAGCTCAGCGTCATCAGGCAGGAAGGCGAGGCAGGAAGGCGAGGCAGGAAGGCGAGGCAGTGTTGCCGGATCTGCCAGTGTTTCAAGAGAAGCCAGAGGCTCCATTTTTATTTTTTTGTATGGAATCTTCTGATTTTGAAATATTGGCAGATAATTCAAATTATCTTAAACACTACAGGCCAAACAAAACATATCTGTGGGCTAGAGACAGTCTGCCAGTTTGTAACTATTTCTCCAGATCATGAGTAAATTTGGCTTTATGATAGTCACTCAGTTCTCATTACTCTAGGTTATTCAAATGAATTAAAAAAGCTGAAATTATATGAATAAACCCCTGGGCACACGTGAAAGAAGTGAAAAACCCATGTTTCCTATTGTAGAAACATGGAAGCATGTCAGAGCCAGAGGATCCAGAGGAAGTATTCTCACTAGCCTCAGACCCTCAGGAGTGAGGGACCTTTTCTTGTTAATGGCCATGCTTGTGCAGTTTTCCCTCCCAGGTGCTGGTGAAAGAAACCCACAGTCCTGGAATCATGGAAGTGATACCATAATGACTGTCGGTTGACGCTGCTTTAAAGAATGAAGCCACAGAATTGTGCTGTTAGCATGTCGTGAGCAGTTAGTTGAGTTGGTGGCTTGTAATTTACTCTGTGTGGATGTTATTGATCAAAGCTTTTCATTATTGACAGTGTCTCCATCTGCTGTTTGCTGTTTTTAGGGGAAACCACCCTTTATGACTCAACAGCAGATGTCTTCTCTTTCCCGAGAAGGGATATTAGATGCCCTCTTTGTTCTCTTTGAAGAATGCAGTCAGCCTGCTCTGATGAAGATTAAGCATGTGAGCAACTTTGTCCGGAAGTGTAAGTTTGGGGAACTTTTTCTTGAAAACCGTCCTGAGAGAGAAAAGTAGAAAGATGCTTGAGGCAGAATGAGTTACTGGTTGATAGTAGTGGGTAAGAACTCTGGTTCTATATAAGACAGATCTAGGTTCAAGTTCAGGCTGCACCTCTTATAGCTGGGAGACCAGGTAAGTTGGGCTACTTGGTTGCAAGTGACAAACTCAATTCAAAGACTGAATTTAGGACAGGTGCAGTGGCTCATACCTATAATCTCAGCCCTTTGGGAAGCTGAGGTGGGCGAATCGCTGGAGCCTGGGAGTTCAAGACCAGCTTGGGCAACATGGTGAAACCCTGTCTCTACAAAAAATACAAAAATTAACTGGGTATGGTGGCTTGCACCCGTGATCCCAGCTGCTCAGGAGGCTGAGGTGGGAGGATCACTGGAGCCCGAGAGGTCAAGGCTCAATGAACCATGATTGTGCCATTGCACTCCAGTCTGGGTGACAGAGTGAGACCCTGTGTGAATAAAAGAGTGAATTTATTGGCTTATGAAACTGAGAAATACAGGAATGAGTTAAGTTTTAACTTTAGGCATAGCTGGTTCCAGAAACCTCAATAATACCCTGTGACCTCATGCTTATACTCACTCAGGACTGACTTTCTATTAGGCAATGTAGGCACGGTGCTTAGGACCTGTGATATTTAATTTTAATGAATTTAATTAGTTTTAATTAACTGAATTAAATTTTAATTTGTTTTAAAATTACAGGAAAAATGAATGTAATAATGTATAATGATTCTGGATTACATTCATCTTTATACCAATGTAGTCATAGAATAAAATTTTTGTTTTTTTTGGAGACAAGGTCTTGCTCTATTACCCAGACTGGAGTGCAGTGGTATATCACAGCTTATTGCAGTTTCAACCTTCTAGGCTCAAGCAATCCTTCTACCTCGGTGGCTGGGACTACAGGCTCACACTACCATGCCCAGCTAATTTTTGCTTTTTTCTGTAGAGATAGGGTCTTACTATGTTACCCAGGCTGGTCTCAAACTCCAGGCTTTAAGCAGTCTTCCTGCCTCAGCCTCCCAAAGCTTTGGGATTACAGGCATTGAGCCACCATGCCTGGCCCCATGAAACATAATTTTCGAATTCTTTTTTGTTTTTAATGGAGGAAGGGGCTGAGGAAGGCAAAAGTACCTAGGGCCTATGAAGTCATATATTGGCCTTGCCTTCACCCTGTTTCTGACTTTGCTTGACTTCCATGTGATGGGGCAGTTGACTGGTGGTGTCCCAGTTTCATACTCTCACATTAGTGTTTTTCAACCAGTGGGTGACTTTGCCCCCTAGATGTTTTTGGTTGTCAGAGCTGGCTGGGGATGGTGGTGTGTGAGGTTGTGGGGAGGGTCCTACTGTCAGTTAATGAGTGAGGCCAGAGATGCTGCCAAACACCTTACAGTGCACAAAGCAGCCCCTGTAACACAGAATTATGTAGCCCACAATGCCAGTAGTGCTGAATTTGAGAAACCCCGCCTTGTACAACATTGCTGTGCAACCAACCACCCTAAATATTAGTGACTTAAAACAATAGTCATTGTGGCTGGGCGCGGTGGCTCATGCCTGTAGTCCCAGCACTTTGGGAGACTGAGGCGACGGATCACGTGAGGTCAGGAGTTTAAGACCAGCCTGGCCAACATGGTGAAACCTTGTCTCTACTAAAAATACAAGAATTAACTGAGCGTGGTGGTGGGCGCCTGTAATCCCAGCTACTTGGGAGGCTGAGGCAGGAGTATCATTTGAATCTGGGAGGTGGAGGTTGCAGTGAGCCAAGATCTCACCATCGCACTCCAGCCTGGGCAATGAGTGAGACTCTGTCTTAAAAAAAAAAAGAAGTTATTGTATTACCTCTCGTGTGTGTAGGTTGATTGGACTCAGCTGGGAATTCCTCTGCTCTGTATTACTTTGGCCAGGATTGCCGTCACCTGGGACTCTCCTGGGCTGGAATGTGTGAGAGGGCTTACTCACTGTTTGGTGCCCTGGCTGGGAGACTGGGCCCAGCTGGGCTTGTCTCTCTTCATGAAGTCTCAGGGCCTTTTGCTGTCTACATGGCACCTCTATGTGGTCTCTACATCAGAAGTCAAGGAACTACAGCCTGTGATGCCTATTTTGTAAACAAAGTTTTACTGAAACAGCCACACCCATGTGTTTGTACAGTGCGTATGGCTGCTTTCACATTATAACAGCATTTTATTTCATTTTATTTATTGTCTTAGAGACAAAGTCTCACTCTGGCTGGAGTACAGCAGCACAATCATAGCTCACTGCAGCCTCCAACTCCTGGGCTCAGGCAATCCTCCTGTCTCAGCCTCCTCAGTAGCTAGAACTACAGGCCCATGCCACCGTTAACGGCTAATTTTTAAATTTTATGCAGCGATGGGATCTTGCGAGATTGCCTAGGCTGGTCTTGAACTCCTGGCCTCAAGAAATCCTCCCACCTTGGCCTCCCAAAATGCTTGGATTACAGGCATGAGCCACTGTGCCCAGCCCACAACAGCATTTGAGTAGTGATAGAGATCAAATGGCCTACAAAGCCCAAAATAATTCCTGTTTGGCCCATTTCGAAAAGGCTTGCTGACCTCTGAGCTACATGGTCTTTCTAGTAGGACAGCCTCGATGGTAGCTCAGGGTTTCCAAAACACAAAAGTGGAAGCTGCCAGTCTTTCTTAGGGGTTATCCTAGGAGGAACATAGGATCTCTTTGGCTGCATTCTATTGTTTGATGCATGCTCTGGGGCTGCTCAAATTCCACCTGAGAGGAAACTACACAAGGGCATGAATCCCAAGAGGACTGGGGTGTTGGGTGCTATTTTTGGAGACTGGCTACCACACCCTGCCCAATGGTTATCTTCCCTTATCTAGCTTAATACAATCCCAGGGAAGATTCTAACTTGGCTCTGCTTTGGGTCATTTGCCTCCCTGGAGGTGAAGTATTGTGATCGGTTTTGTTGGAGTGCCCAAAGGGGTCAGGGCAGTGTGATTACCAGCACCTCATGGGATGGGGGATGCGTGGTTATGCAAAGGAGCCGGGGATGCTGAGTAGAAAAGAATCAGCATATGTTCACTATAGTGCCCTTCGGTATTTTACATGTACTTTGTTCTCAGTTTTCTCATCTGCAAAGTGAGAATAATGTATATCCTTTTTTTGGAGTCTTGCTCTGTTGCCCAGGCTGGAGTACAGTGGCACAATCTCAGCTCACTGCAATCTCCACATCCCGGGTTCAAGTGGTTCTCCTGCCTCAGCCTCCTGAGTAGCTGGGACTACAGGGGTGCACCACCACACTCAGCTAGTTTTTTTATTTTTAGTAGAGATGGGGTTTTGCCATGTTGGCCAGGCTGGTCTCAAACTCCTGACTTCAAGTGATCCGCCTGCTTTAGCCTCCGGAAGTGCTGGAATTACGGGCATGAACCACCGCACCCGGTGGGAATAATGTATATCTAGTGAGGCTGTGTTGGGATTGAGTGAGTTAATGCACAGACCAGACTTATCATGTTGCCTGTCCCATAGGAGACAATAAATGGTACCCAGTAATCATAACTCTGAACCTCAACAACATTTAATGTATTGTATATCTTCAAAATGTACTTGAGATATTTGTTCATCATTCTGTTTTTGTTTGAATAAGCTCCCGCCTTCTTTTTTGAATATTTAAATTTATAAGTAGGGAGTGGGAGGGGAAGGAAATTATGCGACGAGGCTAGCTTACTGAGCCATCTGCAGGCACCTTCATTAGTCTTGAGGCTGTCCTCTGGTTACTTAACAGCAGTGAATTATCTAGAACCATATAGTGATCAGAAGACTTGGTTTAGTGGAATGTAGATGTTTTTCTAATAGAACTCTCTTCCAGGGAAATGTTTCATATGTTTGAAGAGGTTTCCTGGGGAGTGGTTAAGAGGCCATGATTGAAAATGGGTGATTACATTATGTTTTTTTTCCTCCCCTTTTTGAGTGTCTGTTTTGGAATGTAAGCTTTGTTTTTCCATGTGGAGAAGGGTCCAGCAGCTGCTTCTGCCCAGGTTTTTTGAATCTTCCTATAGGGATGGAGATTTTCTTTGGGGACTGTTAGAGAAAATAGAACAGAGAGTAGCTCTGAAGGATGTCTCCAGCAGAAGTACCCCTAGCCTTGGGCCAAGGGAGGGAAGGGAAGGGATTTTTGTCTTTCTTAATTTCTCTTACATCCCCAGTACCTAAAATAGTATCTGGCATATGTTAAGTACTTAATAAATACTTGTTGAATGAGTGTATTGCTCAGTGAACAAAATAAATGTCAAACATTAAGCACAGTATCAGATAATTTGTGTAAAAAATATACAGCAGTGTGATATTAAAACTTGCACAGAGGCCAGGTGCAGTGGCTCATGCCTATAATCCCAGCACTTTGGGAGACCGAGGTGGGTGGATCTTTGAGCTCTGGAGTTCGAGACCAACCTGCGCAACATGGTGAAACCCTGTCTGTACAAAAAAATGCAAAAATTAGCCGGGGCATGGGGGCACACGTCTGTGGTCCCAGCTACTTGGGAGGCTGAGGCTGGAGAATTGCTTGAAGCTGGGAGGTGGAGGTTGCAGTGAGCCAAAATTGTGCCTAGCCTGGGTGACAGAGTGCCAGGTTGCAGTGAGCCTGTGCCAGGTTGCAGTGAGCCAAGATTGTGCCCAGCCTGGGTGACAGAGTAAGACCCTGTCTCAAAACACAAAACAACACCCCCTTCAAAAAAAAAAAAAAATCCAAAACCACCACCACAACAAAAAAACTTACACAGAAAAGTGTTGATAATTGTGAAAGTTGGGGCTGTTACTGGCAATTTGACAGTAGCTGAATTACTACCATTTCAGCTATATCCACTATAGATAACACCTTCAATATATTTACAGCTTTAGTTCCAATAGCAAATGATAACTTTTGAAAAGTTGTTTTTTTTTTTCTTCCTTTTTGCAAACATAATATGCAATACAATGTTAAATATAG